CTAGCGCAGATAGCCCTCGTGTAGCTTTGCGTGAAATTCAAAAAACAAACAAACAAACCCTTCGCTAAAACTAATTACCAATTCCTTGTGGCACCTTTTGTTGCAATTATCATTGACTTCATTAAATAAATATTATTACTGTAGATTCACTTGGATGATTACATAATATGTTTTACAATGAAGGATAGAACCATATTTAATGTTACATTCTATCTGTTTATTGTCTTTCAGTTTATAAGTCCGCAAAAGCACAAGATATTGTTACATTCATCTTTCATAACTTCTTCCTTTCACTTTTTAGATGCAGTCCAAAAAAAGAAAAACTAAAGATCTTGTAATTTCTTTACATGTTTCCAAAATAAACCTTTTACACTGTTTCATTACTTCATCGAAAAGAAAATATCAGTTGTAGTATGTAAAGGTGTCATGTGTCTGAACGTCTTTGACAAGATGGATGTGAATAGAACATCTGAGTAGATAGATAACAAGCTTTGCACGAAGAAACAAGCATGCTAAATAATAACCTACCAGAATTAAATCTTGCTGGCGTCATCGCGTTGATAATAATAGAAAAATAAGACGTTATCAACTGTCTCGGTGGGTTATAAATCTCCAATGAATTGTGTCAGAAGCTAAAACTTGGCTGGAAGAAGACGAGATGGCAATGAAACAGTAAGGATCTATTTGTTTTCATATATTTCTATCTTCTGGAATTTTTATACTAATTCTAGATTGAATCATTCATTACCTGAAACTCTCCTTTTTTCTTCTATTTGCTAATAATAATTTAACAAAACATATTGTTTGGTGCACAGTGGTTGTATAGATGTCAATTACCATAATTGAAAGTTGGAACACAACAAATTCTTACAAAATTATACTGTAAGACAAAACCTAATGAAGTTATTTTATCAAAATTGAAGAATAAGAACGAATGAGCTTAGCACCAAAGCTGTTAGTGAAGATTAAAAACTTCATTGTTTTTAACATTAATATATTTTACGTGTTTATCGTGACATTTCAAGTTCTTCTTTGAGAAATATTGCGTTGCTTACCAGTAACAGTTAGTGGTAGCTGAGACTGTGGTCAAAGTAAAATACGTTTTCTTGGAAATTAGAAAGTATTTAGCAGATGATGTATCACTGTGTCTTCTGCATCTATACGTTGGTTGCGATTTTTTGAAATGCTAAAAGGTGATCTTATATATTTATTTATGTTCGTTCTGTATTATGAAGCGCTATGAATAACGTCCAGATACAAACATAAATGTATTTACCCAAGTCTTAAAAAGTTTATTTCTACCCAATTTGTTCCCCATATACTAACAAGAGCCTAAATACTAGAGTCTGTGCATTTGCGAGCTTCTAATATACAGTGATCTCGCCCTTAAAGGTAATATAGGTGTATACTTTACATTTGTTATTTTTACAAGACAAAATACATCTGGAGTTCGAAGCAGGTACAAAATCCAGTCATAGTGCACGTACTTTCTGCCAGTAAAACAAAAATAGGAAAGATAGCATAATTAACGTCATATTGCTATTAAAGTTTGAAAAATGAGATACAGTTTAGTGAGAATATAGAATTGAATTAGCTTATTGTTATGCCATTTACAATCACCAGTTTATCGAAAGCGAGACCTAGCTTTGGTGTCTTGAAAATGGTGGTTTCCATACCGGAGACAAGACGATCTAAACTGTTGAACTCCTTAAAACGAGTTGATTTTCGATGGAATCAATAACGTACGTTGTCGTCACTAGGCCTAATCACACTCTGTCCGTCTGTACTTATGTCTTCATTCTCAGATATTGATTACTTATGCTCTCCATATGGTCTTCATGATTTTTCTTACCTATATTGCAACTTTCTTTGAACAAAGAATCCCATGACAATAAACATATTAAATAAATCACAAAAAATAATGTTTTACTACTTCTGCTAAGCCTAATATGTGAAGATGTTTCCGAATAATGAATGGTTAGGGTTTCATATACCTATGTAATTAGGATATAACGTAGTTTGAGGTTCTTTCAGTTGGCTGGATTTGTTTATAACCAAACCATTTTTTATATATCTTTCAGACTGATCCATGTTGTATCCTTCTACTTTATAATTATTGTAACGTTGTTGACTATTCAAGCCTTTGCTCCTTCATCAGGATGTCCACCTAAAGAAAACATTTTCCCACAATGTACATGTACGAGTGGAATTGTCATATCGTGCAAAGTTGGAAAAATTGATGAAATTCCACTTTGGGCTTTCCGAGGATATACCATAAGTCGTCTGGAACTAACAACATATCAAGAAAATGATAAATTTTTCCCTCACTCCTTTATGGGGCTAACTATAAAGTTTATTGAGCTGAAGTCATTTCAGTTGAAAACTTTAAGTTTGATGGAAGACTTCCAGGGCTTAGAGAAATCACTAACTGGATTGTCAGTCGTAACATCAAAGGTTGATAACATAACTGCTTCAGAGCTTAAACAAATAAGCCAAGAGTTTTCTCTACTTGTAACTCTAAACATGGAAGGGAGTAAGTGTCTGGTGAATACTGCAATCCAATATATAGGAATACCTAACCTTAAGAATTTTATTTGCACTGGAAGATCAGGCAATGAAAACTTTAAAACTGTTCCTAGTCATTTATTGGCAGATTTTACAAAACTTGAGAAGGTTGAGTTAAGTGGAATTGGATTTCAAAGTATTGAGAACAATGTATTCCCATCGGATGCAAGATATCTGAGGATAATCAATTTAAGGTAAAGAAACTTTCAAGTACATTTAGTTTTCATTTCTCTTTTTTTTAGATATACAAGTATCTGCTGATATAAGAAATCGTTTTTTAAAGTACAAATATAAAAATGCTTCAGTTGTATAATTTTTTACACGGAAAACAATAGTAGATATATAATGTCATTTTATTCTTAAACATTTGTTTTGTATATAGTTTATAAAACTACCGTGTTTTATCATCTTTAAAGGCAAGTTCATTCATTATGCATTTGATTATTAAATACCATGAATATTTTTTGTGTATTTGTATTATGAGTTTTACAAAATATTATTTTGTGACACGTAGAAATACGTTAGTTATTGTTATAGCTGTTGAGACCTTTACTAAAGAGACTGAGTTCTGCTTCAGAGAGAGTTATGTCTGAAAGATTAACAATGTTAGAGATATGTCGGAAGTGTTCATCGTTATCTGTATGTTTTATGTTATTTTCAACAGATTTGTTTGTTTATTTGAGAAGGCTTATGCGTATTAGAGGATGAAATGTTTTTAAACTTTTTTTAGGCTGTTAATTGTGAGATAAATGAATTTTGATAGTTTCTGGTAGACTGCTTAATGTTATGGTAGTTTCTTTAGGACAAAGAAGAGGGTTCGAAAGAGTTATTAATTATAAATGTTGTATAGGGTTAACGAGTTGTAGATAAATACACTACATTATAAAATGTTGCATAGGGTTAACGAGTTGTAGATAAATACACTACATTATAAATGTTGTGTAGGTTTAACGAATTGTAAATAAATACACTACATTAATCAAATGTTGCATAGGGTTAACGAGTTGTAGATAAATACACTACATTATAAATGTTGTATAGGGTTAACGAGTTGTAGATAAATACACTACATTATCAAATGTTGTATAGGGTTAACGAGTTGTAGATAAATACACTACATTATAAATGTTGTGTAGGTTTAACGAGTTGTAAATAAATACACTACATTATCAAATGTTGT